GGAAGCCACTAGTAGCTAAGGGGACCAGGAAAGCATTCCTGCAGAAGGTAGGATTTGAAGTGAGTCTTGAAGGAGGCCAGGGAAACTAAAGGCAGAAATAAGGAGGGAGAGTGTTCCAGGACCAAGAGATGGCAGTGAAACAAAGTTGGAAGATGGGGTGTGGACAGGGGTCTGGTGGTAAATGTTTAACAACCAAGTCTCCAGGTGGAGAAAAGTATTTCTGACATACTTTGAAATCTAATCTACATACATATTTTTTTTTACATTTTCATCACTTTCTTAATTGTAGACAATCAACAAAATGGTAAATCAAGTCCTAATTTGTAGCATTTGCCAATTTTCAAGGTGTAAATGCTCAAAATGAAAATTTAACAATCAGCTCTAGAGAGCTATTTGGAGCTGGTTCTAACATACCGTGAGTGCAGGAGGACTAGAAAGTAGACCAGTGTGGTAGGAAGGGGCCAGGTTATGAACAGTTTTCAAAGTTAAGTAGAGGGTTTATATTAGATCCTGGAGATAATAGGAAGCCACTGGACTTTATTGTAGGGATGACATGATCCAACCTATACTTTAGGAAAATCACCTGGGCAGTCTATTGTAGGATGGATTTAGAGTAGGAAGAGACTTGAGTTCTTGTTGTTCAGTCGTTTCAGTCATGTCTGACTCTGCGTGACCCCATATGGGATCTTCTTGGCAAAGCTACTGGAGTGATTTGCCATTTCCTTCTCCAGCTCACTTTACAGATGAGAAAACTTGAGCCAAACAGGATTAAGTTACTTGCCTAGGGTCACACAGCTAGTAAGTGTCTGGGGCTGAATTTGAACTCATGAAGATGAAGCTTGCTGGCTTCAGGCTCTGTGCTTTATCCAGTGAACCACCTAGCTACCCCAGAGGCTTGAGGCAGGGAGGTTAAGTGATTTACCTATGGTCACAAAGTTAGTGCTCTCTGTGGCAGCTCTTGAACCTAGATCTTACGAATCTAAGGCCAGATCTCAACATACTATACCATGTTGCCTCTCCTGGTTCTCCCTAACCTGCCAGTATTCTGAGCACAGTAATTTCTTCCACTCAGCAAGTCAGTGGTCTAAGCTGAGAACAATATCACATCCTAAGAAGACACAGAATTGGATTGCATATAGGTCCTGTCTTAGAGTTCACTACTTAAAAAAAGAAAAAAACACTTTAGTATTATGAGCTTTTTTTTTTAATCCATTCAAAGGACAATTTGAAATTCTCAACCCATAGCCTGATAAGTAAGCAAACTCCTTGGTAGTTTTGGCAACAGTGAAGGAAGGCTCCTCCTTATTATGAGGGAAATTAAGGAGACAGTGAGTGGTAAAAACATTTTGTCTTTAATATTTGGTAACAGCTTTTTCAAAAGAGATTAAACCAGTGACTTAGGTGGCTGAATTAAAAAAACAACAACAACAAAAACAATAAATAAGTCAGTATTAAGTGGTAAAGAGAGTTCAGAAAAACTTCACTGACACAGACTCTACCAGTTCAGAATTTGTGATCAAATTCACATAACTCCATATGTGATTCTTACTGGAGAAAAAGGTTGATTATACATATATATATGTAATATGTGTGTGTGTGTGTGTGTGTATTCACATACACATATTTATATATGTGTATATATGTAGAAATATACATAAATATAGATTTATAAATATATAATGAACATAAATGTAGTAGAATATAAATATTAACAATAAATTAATAAATGATATAAATATGATATAGAAATTTAAATAAGTAAATATATTATATATATAAAAATATATATAAAGCAGATGTGTGTAATTATGTATAAATACCTTATTATATAGGGGAGAAAACTTCAGACTGAGAGTTCAAAATATCTGGGTTAGAGTTTTAGTGCTCACTGATTCACTGAATTTAACACAGTCCCTTCACCTCTTCAGTTTCCTCACCTGTAAAATCAAGGGGTTGCATTAGATAATTTCTTGATCTCTACAATGCCTTCTAACTTATCCTTTAATGGCTGGGCTATAATTCTGTCATCCTAAGTTGAAACAAGTAGCCTTTTCAAACTGGCACGTCAAGAAATTCCTTGAACATGTTTTTCATTTCTAAGCTTAGCATTTAATTTTTGAATGCTAAGAGGCTGTTATGCTACATTAATATAAAATGTAGACTTACTGAGAGTTAATTTTTCATTAGTTTTCTTCATTTTACCTTTCAGTGCCCATTTGTATCTTACTTCATACATAATAAAAATTGCTTACAGCTTGCTTCAAAATTGTCTCTCTGGATCATCATGGTAGCTCTGGGAGGTAGGTAGGGCAATTACTATTATCCCCTCTTTGCACACACACACACACACACACACACACACACACACACACACACACACACACAAAACTGAAACTAAATGAAGTTAAGTCTAATTTTGAGGAGTCAATGGCAGACCCAGAAGGCTGGGACATTGTACTGATTCTCTTTCCAATCGGAGGCCTATCTACTCTAGACTCAGGCATATGGCAAAGGCTAGGTTCAATCCTAGGAAGTCAAGCTCCTAATGAAAGGGCTCTTGTTTCTTACAATCTAGGGCTCATTAAGCCCCCACCCAGTTACCTTAGAAACAGGTTTTAGCTCATGTCTAGAGCCTCCTCAAAAAAGGGAAGTTAAAAAAAAAGGTGCTCAATCAGTTATGGAACAGGTATTTATTTCCTACACACAAAAGACTCACAACACACACTGGCAGCACAGCTTAGAACAGGATTCAGTGACAATTTGAAATTACTATTATACTCTCTTGCTGGCAGATACTTAAACCTCATGAGGGATATAGAGTGGTTTGCAAGACTATTGATTAGGGATTTTGCATTTCACCTGAGCTCTGCACTGTCCAAACGACAACCAGCTCATGTCTTCTGGTGAAATAAACCAGGCTTGGGCCAGTCCTCTTACAGGTGATCTCCTCCAAGAGTACTAGTGTGATTGCTGGAGATTCTGCTTCTTTCTGCTGGTTGACCCAATGGAACCCAGGATCTCTGTGCCTCTCAGACTCATTAGGTAATCTCCAAACCTGTACACATCCACCTCAAGAATAATATTCAATCACTTATTCAGGAAAGTAAACAAAAAGTAGGGAAGGCAACCAGGGCCCTCGGTGTGCTGTCTTTGTTTCCACTTTAGGAGGGCCAGTGGTATGAAGGGAAAGAGCATAGCACATACCCACAGCCTTCTCACAGGGAGTCTGGAGGCAGAGAGCACCATGTGCTACACAGGAAAATCAGATCAAAGCAACTGAAGCAGAAACTGTCTCCTCTTTTAAAAGTTCATTGAGTCATCAGCTCCTCTTGTCCGGTAGCTAATGAGGGAATTGCTTCATTATTTCAAAGCACCCTTGTTCTTCAATGCTGAGTCACCACATGACCAATAGTAGCCAGGGAATCCACCATCTCTAACATGTCCTAATACTGAGTTACCAGGCACTTTATTTGGCTTCAGGACTCAGGTTAAAGCAAAAATGGGTTTTGGGGATGAGAAATTGAGACTCAGGAAGCTGATACAAATGAGAGCTTTATAATTATATGGTGCAGCAAGCAGGTAAAAAGACACATACATATTATGTGGCAGTATAGCCAGACAGAGGTTTGTTCCCATGGATATAAGAAATTCACTCAGTGAGAGGGGAAGGAAGCCATGTAGTGGAAAGTACATACATAAAGTTGGGGTTCAGATGGGAAAGTTTTATATCCCAAAAATAGGCTTGGTGGAGAACAAGGAATTGGTGCTAGATAAGGGAGGAGAATATCCCTAATCAGACACAGATAAGTAGAAAAATCATCAGGACCACTTATTTATACCAAGCTTGGATGAGGCTTGGATAGGGGGAGTTTCTTTACCTCAACCAGAAATTGGGAGACATTTTGAGTTGGCTATCTAAGGCAGCAGAGGAATAGCTCACAGGCCAGGAGTTTTAGCAAATCAGAAGGTGTGAGCATTAAGTGCTTGTCACAGGATTAATATAGGTCAGAACAGTGGAAAAGTACAACTTTGTCTTTGTTTATCTGTTTTAGGAGCATTAGGTCCACTAATGATTATAGAATTCCAATATGAAGTCGCTTAGGCTAACTATAACATCAAACAATATAACAATTACAGTGATTGATCATATCATGCTTTTGGAGTCCCTAGAAGTTCCAGGGGACCTCTGGGTGCACACATTCTGAGATGGTCCCCATAATTCAGCCTTTTCTACATAAGTGATTGGCCTAAGGAAGCCCCACAGAAGATACCGGTCTTCTGGTTCACAATCCAGCAGTCTTTCGATTGGATGCTTTCTATTTTACAGTAGCAAAACTGAATGGCTGAAAGTATCCCATTAGTTATAACTTTGAACTATCACAATAGTCTCTCTATGCTTTCCTTCCTCCAAACTCTGAGGTAGGAATTTCTATTTTATATCCATAGGGTAGAGGTGGTTTCAATTTCATTTCTACTGCTGGTTTGAGAGAGCCATAGGAGGGTGTGCAGCAGAAGATACAAAGGAACCTTGGTTTCATCGACAAAGCTGGTACCCTTATCCTTCCTGATGGGAGCCAGCCAGAAGCTTTTGTGCCTTCTTCTTGAATTAGTCTGAGACCTTATTATGTAAATGTTGATCCCCAGCTTCATAATAACTATAAGAGAAGTTTGGAATGCTAAAAAGGGGATTCTGAAAAGGAATTTGGAGATATCACTTAGGAGGCAAGAGGGTGGTGAGGGTTTTGAGGGGAGCAACAGATCTCTACTCCTGGGAAACCAAACCTTAGAGACCAGAAGGGCAACAGCAAATTTGAAGCTTTTCTTTGCCATCAAGACCCCTCTCCCTAATACTTTCCCTCTCCATATAACCTCCATCCCCTTTGAAGCTATAAACATAGGTATTGAGTTATTGCAGGACCCTCCACACAGTTTAGATTTAAATGACAGGTGCTGAGTCTCATACCTTTCTAATTATTTCTCTCTTGTCCCCTGACCTACAGGTGAAGCAATACACTTGGGAAGTCTTGTAGCTGCCCAGGGTTACATCTTCCCCATATCGGACCATGTCCTTACCCTGAAGGATGATGGCACCTTTTATCGATTCCAAGTAAGTCAGCTCTCTTCCTTTCCCCTCAATTTCCCCCTCATCTGATCAGAACAGAACAACTTTGGAAAGGGGAAGGTAGAACACAGTTCAGGCCCTGGGGAAAACGGGAATGATACCAGGGGGCTCCTGATTCTTGACCCTCTGTTGTTTTGCAGGCTCCATACTTCTGGCCCTCCAACTGCTGGGAACCTGAAAACACTGACTATGGTGAGAACTGAAGCAAACCTTACAGGTTACTGCTGGGAGCTTGCAAGACAAATGCTTAGTGTCTGAGCAACTGTAGAGTAATTTGTCTGTGTCCTGGGGGGTTTCCTATGTTTGGCTTTTTTTCGTTTAGTTGACATTTAATAAGCCCTCAACTCTTGGGAACTCTTCATAATGAAGGGAGGAGCACAGCACACAGAAAACAAGGAAGTCCCAGGAGAGGAACAGGAGAGAAGTTCTTATAAGGCCCTTTCGATACATGGGATCCCAGAGACTTCTGAGGCTTCCTCTGAAGCCATGTGGCTGATGAAGGCAGGACCAAGATGATAATGACCAACTTCTACACCCAGCTTCACAGGCTTATTAAAAAGCATGACAAAAATCCCTGGAGGAGCTTAGGGAGGGATAGGAGTAGAATTCACCCTGACTCAGGGGAATAAGTTATTAGGTTTGGCACAATTAGATCATATTTGGGCAAGGAGATCCTTCAAGGCTCATCTGATTTCATGTCCTTAGTGGAAGAGGATGTATATACACTAGCTTAGGCAGCAGTGACAGCTGACACTTCATTACCATTACCTTTAATAATAAGGTACTTTGGAGAAATATGAGATCATCAGTCTGGGTACTCCTTCCACCAGTGCAGGTAATGAACCCACTCCACAAGGGGTTTTTAACATGAGGCCCATGGACCCCTAAGAAATCTGTGGAAAAATTTCAAGTGTCCTATGAATTTTTTTAAAAGAAATTTTGATAATTATATTCTAATATGATCCATTTCCTTTGTAATCCTATGTATTTTATTGCATGCATTTTATTTTATTTTATTTTTTGACGAGGCCATGGGGTTAAGTGACTTGCCCAGGGTCACACAGCTAGTAAGTGTGAAGTGTCTGAGGCCAGATTTGAACTTAGGTCCTCCTGAATCCAGGGCTAGTGCTCTATCCCATTGCGGCCACCTAGCTGCCCCCTATTGTATGCATTTTAAAACATTATTCTGAAAAAGAGTCCATAGACTTCTGCTTATTATAGCACCTCCATATTTACCTTATACACTTTAAACTGTCAAAGGGATCCATGACACAAAAAGAAGGGAAGGGGACAACAAAGGAAAGGACTAACTATTTATTAAGTACGCAGCTATGTTCCGGGCACTGTGCTAAATGCTTTCTAAATATTACCCCCATTTAATTCTTACAATAGCCCTATGAGATAGATGCTATTATTATCAGCCCCATTGTACAGCTGAGGAGACTGAGACAGAGGTTAAGTGACTTTGCCCAGAGTCACACAGCTAGTAAGGGTCTGAAGTCAGATTTAAACTCAGGTCTTCCAGATTCCTAGCCCCATGCGCTGCATTCACTATGCCCCCTAGCTGCCTCAGGGGAAAAAAAAAGAGGGAAAGAAGGAAGGAGAAAGAGAGAGAGAGAGAGAGAGAGAGAGAGAGAGAGAGAGAGAGAGAAGAGAGAGAGAGAGAGAGAGAGAGAGAGAGAGAGAGAGAAAGGAAGGGAAGGAAGAAGGAAGGAAGGAACCTGCTTTGTAATAAATGAGCTTCATGAGTTGTGACTGAAAAAAAAAAGTCATCATAAGTAGTTAGTCTTCTGATGACAAACCTTTTCAAACTTAATTAAGCTAGTCCTCTAAGGCCAGACACAGAACCCATCACTGGACCTACATTCACAGCCTTTCTTTCCAGCTTGGTAGAACCTATCTGAACATGAAGTAGGACTTGAATAAATGCTTCTATGGTAGTCCCAGCTAATAATTCTTCTCCTGAGATAGTGGAGTAATCAAATCCCATTTCTTTCAAGACAGTTTAGAGAATTGTCTGTTCCTGGGAGAAGATTCTAGCTGCAGGGGGAATGGTGTGGGTTTACAACTGAATTAATATTTGGCAGGTGCTGACTGGTACATCTGATTGGTTGACCAATGAGCAGTCAATCTAATATGTAACCTTATAACTTCTGCAGTAGATAAATTTGAAAGAAGGGGGACTTATTAAATGGTAGCAGTGGAAGGAATAGAATAACAATTGTTTATAGCCTAATAAAGTTCAGATTATCAGACTTCCAAATAGTTATGGACAGCACAGATGTATAAGGGGAAAGGCTCCTCAGCTGTCTACATATGTTAATGCTCACTTCACTGAAAATCCACTCCTCAGATGCTATAATCAATGGTTCCGCTTGATGCTTCTGGCCAAGAAGAGAAGTTACATTTGGCTCATAATAAAGTAAAAGCTTCTAGAACTGCTGAAATACAGCCCATCAAAGCCCAATTCTAGAGCAAATCACTTTGTCTCTTTTTTTCATGTCATTGACATTCCTTCTGTGAAAGTGACTAATTTCGAGGGCCTTGAACTAGATAAGAGGGCCAAAGTCAAGGTTTGGTCTCTTATAAACAGAAAGCATAGACCTTCCAAGTTTATGTATATATACATACATACATACAGATATACATATATATATATATGTAAAATATACACATATATACATATATATGTATGTATATATATATGCATAAATATCATGTCTTTTTCCTCTTTCAAGAGCATTTCTAGGATTCATAGTTTAAATGTGCACCACTGTCATTGATATCAACACTGTATGTGACCCTGTTTCAGATCAAATTATTACTCTGAATTCTCTTTCCTCAACAATTTCATTCCCATTTCATGGATGAAGTTATTGAAGGTCAAAAATAGCAAAGTATTCATTTCACTCACAAAGAAGAACTACGAATCATTCCACCAATAAGTATTTTTGAGCATCTGTTCGATAAAATGAGGAAGCTGGAGTAACTGCCTGAAGTCTCTTCCAGCTCTCAAACTGCGATCCTATTAATGTTCAAGCGACGGGGGAATTCCGAAGAAGTCAGATATATGGTCTCTGTTCCTGATGTCAAATTGGAAAGACAAGAAATGTACGCAAAAACAATCAGAGAAAATTCAAAACAACATGTAACCACATTATTAATTGGTGTGTATGGATTATAAGTGAGTTGTGGCAAAAGAGAAATCATTACAGATCACAATGATGCTACCTGTAGGTCCATGCGTTTTGCCCAGACTACGCCCCATGCATTCAGTGTTCTTCTTTCTGGCTTCCCTCCTCCTAGAATCCCTAGCTCCCTTCCAAACTTACCTCAAGTACCACATCCTACATGAATGCCCATTTGGTTTATTAAGTACTTCCCACCAAAATTATTTTATGTTTATTTGTATATAAAATATATTTACTGACATATTTCATATATTACATATGTATTTCTATTCATATGTATTTGTATTTATATATAGTAAAATATATCTACTAATGGAGGCAGATACTGTGAAGAGGTCACTAAATTTGGAGTGAGAGGACTTGGATTCAAATTCCTGGCTCTGTCAGGTACTATCTATGTGACCTTGCCTCAGCCTCTCTTTGTCTCACAGATTTACACAGGAAAAAAAAATTCCACAAATACAGACTGCCTGCCTTACTCTAACCAGCAGTCTTCATTATCTGGGACCTTAGTTACAAGAGATATGGGGTGAAAGGCTATGGATGATTCAATGCAATACTTCACTACTACTGGAAGGATAACAAACATATCTTCCTGACAGTGAAATGAGTAGCGTCATCCCTATATACACATAAGTAGGCATTTATTTATAACCTAGAAAATCTCATCTGACCACAGCTTATGAATTATTGGCTAATCTTCTCCCTGAACATGCCTTGTCATAGTCTGGAGAGGTGGCATAAGCCAGAGAGGTCAAACTGGAGATCTGCAAAACTCCTTAATGAGGCCCTGAATCCAACTAAAATGTAACTGGGAAGTGTTTAACAAAATGAATAGAAATGCAATACAACATAGATAATGTTAATTTGTGGTTTTCTAAGTCAATATGTAGCCTGCAGGTATCTGTTTCTATTTGAATTTGACACCGTTCCAAGCTACTGGGCTCTCTCTCTCACACACATCCTGGGTTTTCCAAACAACCCTGGCCAAAACAAAGCAGAGACAGAAGGAGGAATCCTGAACGTACCCACTTTCTTGCCTCTTTCTGCTCTCACAGCTGAGTGATAAGCCCAGCTCTCTGGTTTTTAAAAAAAATCATTTTATTTATTTTGTTCCATTTTAAGTTCTGAACTGTCTCCTTCCCTCCTTCCACATACCATACTACATACACACACACACACACACACACACACACACACACACACACACACACACACATACACACACACAAACTGAGTAAATGCTTCTATGGTAGTCCCTCCTAATTCTTCTTCTGACATAGTGGGGCAATCAAATCCCATTTCTTTTAAGACAGTTTAGAGGATTATTGTCCGTTATTGGGAGAGGGTTCCAGATGCAAGGGGAATGATGTGAGTGAGTGTGTGTGTGTTTGTGTGTGTAAAACCATACTGTGCAAACTTCTATTTATCAATGCATTCTCTGGTGGTGGATAGCATTTTCCTTTGTAGGTCCTTTGTAGTTGATTTGAGTATTCGTAATACTCAAAATAACTAGTCACACATAGTTATTCTTCAACCATATTGCTGTTCCCGTATACAACATTCTCTTTGTTCTGCTCATTTCCCTCTTCATTATTTCATGCAAGTCTTTCCATGTTTTTTTTAAATCAACCTGCTCATCATTTCTTATAGCACAGTAGTATTCCATCACAATCATATACCACAACTTGTTTAGCCGTTCCCCAACTGATGGACATCCCCTCCATTTCCAATTCTTTGACATCACAAAGAGAGCTGCTGTAAGTATTTTAGGATATATAGGTTCTTTTCCTTTTGCACTGATCACTTTGGGAAACAAACCTGATAGTGATATTGCTGGGTCAAAGGATATATGCCGTTTTATAACTCTGGGCATAATTCCAGATTGCTCTCCACCCCTAACTTTAGATACCCTGAGACTGGATCAGTTGTGATGGTGCTTGCGATATGCAAAATGTCCCCCTTCTTTTTACCCACCTATCTTCTGCATCTGTTTAGTGCTCACTATGTGCCAGGCACTGTGCTAAGAGCTGGGAAACAAAGGAAGGCAAAAAGATAATCCTTGCCCTCAAGAAGCTCACACTCTAAGAAGGGAGGCAACAGGGAAATAACTAAGTAGATATAAGATATATACATAGTAGATTTAATACATTCTGTGAGGGGAAGGCATTAGCAGCTGGGGGGAACCAGAAAAAGCCACAAAGAGTCTTGAAGAAATCATTGAAACTAGTTGTTAGAGGAGGTGAGGGAGTAACTTGAAGCCTTTTCCATTTCTGCTTCCAAAATGCCTTCATTCATTCATTAATTATTTATTTACCTGCTGTGTGTACTCTACTAGATCATGGGAAATATATATACACAAACACACACACACACACATATATATAAATGTATGTATAAATGTATGTATGTATGTATGTGTGTATGTATGTATGTATGTATGTATGTTTCAGGACAGGGGATGGAAGTGTCATGCTATATCCTGAAATCAACAAGTGGCTAATATTTCTTGCTGACCAAATCCTGACATGATACATGGCTTCTTAAGAGTGGAGGCTATTCATGACTTCTTCTTTTCTTACATTTTTCATAGTGTCTAGCATAGTACTGGACACAAAGGTGCCCAAAAAAATACGTGATTGGTTGACTGATTACTGCACTAATGCTATTTATTGCTAATTGTAATTATTATAACATTTTACTATACCTTTTACATTATTTCATCTGAGTCTCAGGATAGCCCTATGTGGTTGGTAATGCAAGTATTATTCCCAATTTGCAGATGAGAAAACTGAGCCTTAGATTTGGTTAATTAGACCTATTCAAGGACACATGACTTGTAGAAGAGATGAGATTAAAAGCCAGGTCTTTTGAATGCAAAGGGTACAGAGGGCTAGGTTTTGCATTCAAATATTGACTCAAATTTGGGTTCCAGCATTGACTCAGATACTACTTTGTGACCTTGGGGAAAATCAATTAACCTGTCTGGATCTCAGTTTCCTCATCTGTTAAATGAGGAGGTTGGACTAGATGATCTCTAAGATCCCTTTGAGCTTGAAATTCATGATCCTGAGTCCTGATCTCTTGCCACCCACCTTGCCTTAAGTTATGGTTTTGGTGCAATATTATTTCTCTTCTTCTTTTAGCCATTTATCTGTGTAAGAGGACAATGCAAAATAAAGCAAGATTGGAATTGGCAGATTATGAAGCTGTAAGTATAACCACCTCCCTGGAGAGGTATGGGAGGAGGAGGGTTAAAAGATATCTTTGCATCTATCTGGGCTTGAACCATCATTTCCTCCTTTTCAGCCCTCAGACTTTGCAGATACAGTGGGGAATGGAAGGAAAGCTCCCTCTGCCTCCTTTGCTCTCCGCTCTAAATGGCCTCCCTCTGATAGTTTTTATGACTCTGAGAATAAAATTGTGTCCCCACACATTCAATAGTTCCTGGTATCAGAGGGAGATTCTTAAGGTAGATTAAGCTTATAGGATCTGTGTGATTCATGTGACATCTTTCCCAGTGCCCCTCTTCCCACACCAAATCTCAGATTCATGACTTTTCTCCATAATTCCTTCCAAGAATTTGATCCCCCACAACACCTCCCTACCAGCCTTGAAGCCACATGTTACAACACGGAGCAGAGGGTCTATTACTGTTCAAGAGGAGAATTATCAGTCTTCAATCTTGATCATCCCAAGAACTCTGTTCCCAATAGGGGTGCCTCTGTTTCATAAAGGAGAAAAATGAAGTTCAGAGGAGTTTAAATACAAAATCAACACAGATGATAAAAAAAATATGACTGTAGCCAATGATTTCCACCTCCTCCTCCAAACCCATCTTTATAAGGCTAATTTTAAATCTTCCTCCTTCTCCTCTGTTCCCCACCCACCCTCCTGTGAAGGTACTAATGAACAGTGAGATGGCTAAAGGGCTGGCAGCAGAGGGAAGAGAGGCAGCACAGAGGGCCAGGAATAATTTTCTCTTGTATAATCAAACATTATCCCTACCTTTAAATCCACCCATCTACCAAATTCCCCTCTGCTTCCTGCTCTTGAAGGCTTCCACAATTAACTTGAAGCCTAGCGAAGCCTGTTGGGCACAGGGGCCAGCCAGCCCTACCCATGCTCTGCTATACCCACACTAAGGCTCACTGTTCAAGACAATCTAAGTTGGTTAGTCAGTCAATAAACATTTATCAAGTGCCTATTATTATGTGCCAGGCGCTGTGCAAAGTGCTGAGGTTACAAAGAAAGGCAAAAGACAAGTCGGTGCTCTCAAAGAGCTCATGAACTGATGGGGGAAACAACACGCAAATAAATATGTACAAACGAAATAAATGGACAAAATAAATTGGATATTTAGGAAGGAAGACACTAGAAGGAAGACACCGGGGGCAGCGAGGGGGCACAGTGGATAGAGCACCAGTCCTGGAGTCAGGAGGACCTGAGTTCAAATTCAACTTCTGACACTAGCCTGTGTGACCCTGGGCAAGTCACTTAACCCTGTTTGCCTCAGTTTCCTCATCTGGAAAATGAGCTGGAGAAGGAAATAGCAAACCACTTCAGTATCTTCGCCAAGAAAACCCCAAATGGGGTCATGAAGAGTCAGACAAGACTAAAAATGATTGGACGATAATAACACAAGAATTAAGTGGAATCAGCAAAGGTTTCCTTTAGGAGATAGGATTTTAGCTGAGATTTAAAGAAATCCAGAAGGCAGAGATGAGGAAGAAGAGCATTCCTGATATGGAGGACAGCCAGTGAAAATGCCCAGACTCAAGAAATGAGATGTCTTGTTGGAGGAATAGCAAGGAGGTCAATGCATAGGCAGGACTAGAGACCATTAGCCCTTGAAACTGTTGTCATAACAACAAGAAGTATTTATTAAGCATCTCCTATGTACCAGGCACTGCCCCCAGAAACTAGGGATACAAGTACCAAAAATAATGAAATAGGACTAAATTTTAGTCACCAAACTTTTCCATGTGTATGAGGAAGTGACAGTTGTGTTATTTATGATCTAGGTAGCTCCAAGATAGCAGGTGGGTCCAATAAAGGAGGGTCAGTTTCTCTCTTTGGCTCCTTATCCCCATATGGGATGGCTCCTCCAGTAAGAGATCACCCCCTTGCCTTTAAGTTCCCAGTCATCTTGGAGGCAGCCCCGGTCACTAGAAAGCTATCAGAGAGATTCCCTATGCCTTCTCAGATAAAACTAGTGTGGACACCAAGAAAGGTGCCTTTTAGGTGCTTCTAAATAGCCCATAATCTCATCCAGTTGATGGAGGACTTCCCTAGTAACCTCTTTATACTAGCAGGAATAATAATAATTTATATTTCCATAGCATTTCACCTACCATATGGCCCCACTTGATTCTAACAGGACTAGGTAGGTAATAATATAAGTATAAGACTTTTCCTTATTTGCGGACTGGATGTAGAGGTTTTTGGACTGATTTTTTTTAAATTTTTTTTTTTTAGCAAGGTAGTTGGGGTTAAGTGACTTTCCCAGGATCACACAGCTAGTAAGTGTCAAGTGTCTGGTCTGAGACCGGATTTGAACTCAGGTCCTCCTGACTCCAGGGCCAGAGCTCTCTATTCACTGCACCACCTAGTTGCCCAACTGCTTCTATTTTTAATATTTGCTTAAGTAACTTCCTTAACCTTAGGGGGAAGACTTAGGCCCAAAAATGTAATGATCCACTTTGTATCTCTCACTCACATCTTCCATTTTCCATGTAAAAGAATGTTGAGAGTAGATATTGGCACCAATTCCCAGTGAAGTTTAAATACTATAAAAAGCTCGAAGGATTCTCAAAAAAGAACAGAAAAGATTCCAGGGGTCATTTTTGTGCCTGTGCCTATTTGTACATACAGGCACAATGTTAGCTGCCTATATGATACTTTTCAGTTTAATCCCATTTTATATTAATTGCCTTCTAATAAAAGCAATTGATTAGATGTTGGCACCAACTCTATGAAAATACATAGCAGAATGTGAACTCTGGACTTGCATTCAATCAGAATTAGGCAGGTGATTAGCATGCCTTAACTTACTATCCTATCTACTATACACTATGTGTAATCCTACTGAATTAAAGAATTGAAAAGAACACTTCTTCCTTTTTACTTTGGGAGAGAACTTTAATGAAACATTTTTTCTTGTTCTCTCTGCCTTTATTGTTTTTTATACACTTTTCAATTAGAAAATGAAATTTTCTTCCCTTCCTTCCCTGCCCCACCTCAGCCTAACAGAACTGCTTTGTGTATAGTGAAGACTCAGAGACAAGTTAGAATTAATGACCTCTAAGGCCCTTCCAGCACTAAATCTATAATGATAAGAGACTCCATCCCTGCATTGGTCAGATTCTAGAAAATTAACTTGGTCTTACAGGCTTCTCTACTATTAGAGTGACCTAGTTTTAAGAATAGACAATAAGTCCAGAAAAAACCACCCCCATTCTCCTAGTTTTTGTTTATAGAAATGTCCGGCAGGCATCATTTGTCCCAAAATCCACAGAGCACAAATGGGAAACTCAGGCATATCTCTAGACCTTAACCTATACTGGGTATGCAGCCAAGCAATGGGTATTACATACATAGATGAGACCTATTGGAAGAAAGGTTCCACTGGTTGCCTCCAAACTTCTGACAGATAATTCCTTTAGCTGGCATGCTGATGATGATTGGAAGTGCATTCCTGTGCATCAGAATATGGTACAAAGCTAAATCAAGTTCCAGTCTAGTGAATTTAAAATGGGGGACCATTATTTGTTCTGTCTAACCAATATGGATGAGCGCACGTGTAATGAGCATGGTGGCCATGGCCCAATACTTATTATGATTAATGCCCTCATTGATTTCCATTTTTTATCAGGAAAACCTAGCAAGACTCCAGAGGGCCTTTGCAAGGAAGTGGGAATTCATCTTTATGCAAGCGGAAGCCCAAGTGAAGTATGTGAATGGAACAGAGCCCCTTCTAGGAAAAGAAGGGGTTTCATTCCAAATGTGTGTCTTCATTGCATGTATTCAAGGGAGTCAGCAACCAGAGTTAGGATTTCTGGTTCTCCTCCCTATTTTCTAATAAAAACAGCTTTGTGGAAATAAAGGCCAGGATTTGCCTAGAAATCACTCTGAATTTTCAGCCCAGATGGTGTTTTTTCTTATAATTTGATGTGTGTCTTCTTCTTGGTTAATTTGGAAAGATAACTTGGAAAGTTATCAAGTGGGTGTTCTAGAATTCTTATAGGAAAATCCTTTCTCCATCCTTTCTTAACCTATAACCCTGACTTAAACAATCCATAGTTCCCTAAATAATTTTCAAGCCACTTTATGTTCTGTGTTGAAATTCATTTAGATTTCTTTTGATTTCAACAAGCATGTCTCCCCCCAAAATACAGCCTTTCTCTATGGTACAGGCTATACCAAGTACCAGAGATGGATACAATACAGAAGCATGTATGCTTCCCTTCCAGTGCTTTCGGACTGGCAGACATTCTTATAAGAAATTCAATGCATAGACAGGAAGAAGGAGGTTGGAAAGGTGTAGCCACCCTTGAAGATCTGAGGCATGCTACTTACAGCTTACCCAGAAAAGACTCTTTGATCTCTTGACAAGCATCCCATAAGTCAGGTATTAGGGACCCATACTCCAAGAAGTAACCCAGCCTGTATTAGTCAAAGCCTTCCTTGTCCAACAGTATAAGATCTAGAGGCAACTCTGCATGGACCACTGTCATGCCCATTCCAGCTTATTTCCCTTTCTCTTTCATCATTTTATCTTTCCGAATTGGAACTCATTGGATATTCACTTTGGTAAAGGGGTTGATGTATAATATTCTGAATTTCTCCCCAGTCACTGCTACTGTCTTCTCTCCTAATTCCCTCCATTAGCATGGCCAAATGCCATCTTTCTAAAGGCTTGTCTCCCCATCCTGCCCATTCTCACTGCTAGCATATTGAGACCCCTACTTACTATGAATATGTACAGGACCCATGTTCCCCTTTTCCTTTCCCTCCCACTTCCCTCCTTTTTAGATTTGTGGTGATAGATATAGACATTGGAATGAGGCTAAAAAGCCCCTCCTTCACCACAACCAGTCTCACTCATAACATCCTCTCCTGCTGCCAACCCCTACAGCCCCCTATGGTATAGTAAAAGAGAAAAATGGTAGTGACTTTGTTCAAATTGATGATTCTTAGGATGCCATTGTGTTAACTTCTATATTATGGGTTCTGTTGACAGGTTATCCATCTGACCCTCCTCTTGCATTCCTCTTCCTTCTCACAATTCATTATGCTCTGCCTCTCACCCAAGATCTCATCACTCTCTCTCAGTAACCTTAGCAAGCTAGGTGTCCTCTGCACAGTGTGTTATATCACTCCAGAGTTGGTTACTGCTACAGAAGGAGCCATGGCCCATGGAAAAGCTGATGATAGTAGGTAGGGCAGAAAGTGGAACAGGAATTACAAGGTTTATAATCTCTTTGCATCCAGAAGATCCTGGAAAACAAAGAGAAAAGTTAATTTGTACTTTCAGAATAGAAGAGCCTCACATGTTTCAAAAGGAGGGGGAATTGTCACTTGATACACATATGGTATTTCTCGATTAACTTTTTTGATTAACTCTGTGATTACTTTATAATTGTGGACCATTTAAGTACATGGTAATTATCATGAAAATCACAGGGTGATTATAGGTTTATTTCAGTCCAGTAAACTAAAGTGCTCCCGTGAGATGTGAAAGCTAGAAGTTCCCTGGTACATGGCAATTAATCTGAGTTACTTCTTACAGCAGGAATATGAAGCAATACACTTTTTTTTCTTGTTTTAATAAAAGCCTCTTATCTGGACTACTGATTAGAAAACAAAATATTTCTTTTGTCACCTGTAATTTACCTTTCACAATTTGTTCATCCACCAGCTGGGATTAGTGAAATCAAAATGGGGGTGATATTTGATTTCTAGATCCTGTCATGTGCTGATGTCCTTTCTCTGATTTGGGATAAAGGTGGAGTGGGAAGGGACTCAGCTTAAATTGAAGTTTTAAAATTATAGCAAGTTAGACCTAAAGCAAATTTACAAATCTAAGAATGGAAAATGGACTGGCCTGCATTTCAATTTTACACACTAAATGCCACCCCAATTCAACAAGCAATTATTAAGCACCTACTAAAACGATCCCTGATCTTAAGGAGTGGGTGTTTTAGCTTACATTTCAACCAGCCTTCAGCCAACTGATTTTCTCCAGCATCATATGCAATTCCTCTCCATTATAGAGCTCTTTATAAGTTGGGCCCCAAACATATTTTCTCTTGTTAATTTCGTTGTGAAATAGAGTGGAAGGGAAGAAGGAAGACACCAACATTTTACACATTTCCAGAGTAAAAACATTTCCATTTTCACAAATACTTAAATGTGACAATTAAAGTTGGTCCTTTTTAAGACTTTTAAAAAATTCCACGTAATCAACATGAATTATATATATCCCTTCATAAAACAGAAGGGTGGACTAAGGATGGTTCCCTTTTCTTATCCTTTTCACGTAATTAAAAATGGTTAAAGTATTCAAGCCCAGACTTTCAAAAAACTGGCACAAAAGAATTCAGCCCCCAAATGGTGAGGACCATAAGATGGCACAATGGATAGAGGGCTGAGCCTGGAGTCAAAAAGCCTCATCTTTCTGAGTTCAAATCTGGCCTCAGACACTTGCTAGCTGTGTGACCCTGGGCAAGTCACTATACCTGTTTTCCTCAGTTTTCTCATCTGAAAAATAAGCTGGAGAAGGAAATGGCAACATGAATTTTATATATATGTATATCCCTTCATAAAACAGGAGGGTGGACTAAGGATGGTTCCCTTTTCTTATCCTTTTCACGTATTAAAAATGGTTAAAGTATTCAAGCCCGGACTTTCAAAAAACTGGCACAAAAATGAGAAGAGTAAATGTATTTGTTCTGTTTGCAATAGATGCACTAATTCCCTGGAAATGCACGTGGGGTGGGCAGAAGAAAATGAGAAAGAAAAAAAACAAATGCAAATCTTTTCTGTTTCCATTTTTAGGATTGATCGGAAAAAAGATAAAACAGAAAGAAAAATTTGGGATAGTCAGGAACGAGCCTTCTGGGATGTCCACAGGCCAGTGGTGAGATGGTTTTGTGTAGTTTGATAGGTTTTCTCATTTTCCTTTTCCCCTTCGTAAGACCAAAGGCAGTCTTTAGCCTACAGACATCTGTCTTTGGGAAATGGGTGATCTCTCATTTTATTATTCATTCATTTGTTGTTATTCTGTTATACTCAGTCATGTTCAACTCCGCGTGACTCTGGGCTGGAGCTCTATCAAATGTGCCACCTAGCTGCCTTTATTCATTCATATGATTACTTTATTTTCCCTAAAAGCTACACAAAGTTGACTCTAAAATGTTTATCTTTGAAAATAAAAGTGATGTCCCTCTCTCCCCACCTCCTCAGCAAATTGTTTTCTTAGGGAATCAGCACAGTTCACATTTCTAGAGTAAAAACATTTCCATTTTCACAAATACTTAAATGGGATAGTTAAAGTTGGTCCTTTTTAAGACTTTTAAAAAATTCCACATAATCAACATGGATTATATATATCCCTTCATAAAACAGAAGGGTGGACTAAGGATGGTTCCCTTTTCTTATCCTTTCCATGTATTTAAAATGGTTAAAGTATTCAAGCCCAGACTTTCAAAAAACTGGCATAAAAGAATTCAGTCCCCAAATGGTGAGGACCATAAGATGGCACAATGGATAGAGGGCTGAGCCTGGAGTCAAAAAGCCTCATCTTTCTGAGTTCAAATCTGGCCTCAGACACTTGCTAGCTGTGTGACCCTGGGCAAGTCACTACACCTGTTTGCCTCAGTTTCCTCATCTGAAAAATGAGCTGGAGAAGGAAATGGCAGACTACTCCAGTATCTTTGCCAAGGAAACTCAGAATGGGGTCAAAAAGAGTCAGACATGACTGAAACAACTGAACAACAACATGGCCCTGGGTGGATCACTTAATCTATATTTCCTTCAGTTTTGTTGACTGTAAAATGGGGGGCGATAATAGCACCTACCCAGCAGGGTTGTTGTGAGGATCAAATAAAATGTTATTTGTAAAAGCTTAGCGCACTGCCTGACACGTAGCAGGTACTATATAAATGCTTATTCCCTTCCCTTCCCTTTTTAGTCAGCAGAGGAAGCATCTTTGTTAAAAAGCCATTTATAAATATCATCATCCTGATCATATTAAAATCTGTCATTTGGCATAAGGCAAGCACAGATCCACTGAACAAAATTAATTTGTTCACTGGAGAAAATCAAACATATACAGGGTATCCCCAAAGTCTTTGTGCAGTGCTAAGCTATTTATAACTTAATACTAGCTCAACACTTTAAGTTATTAATAGTATAACACTAGCTTAATACTTTAGGCTATTAATAACTCAAAATCATACAAAGACTTTGGGGGTACCCTGTATTTGTACGCTTATGTATTTTTAATAGAATTTTGCCTTTCTTTATATGCCCAGTGCTTAGCATGTTGCCTTGCAAAAATAATCACTAAAAAAAAATTGTTGACTTGACTTAATGGTGGTAATAAGGTCATTTGGGTCAATTAGAGCTTTAATTAATAATTTTTACAATGATTCCTTTCTCAGCCAGGTTGTGTGAATACAACAGAAATGGATATCAGAAAATGTCGTAGGATGAAGAATCCCCAGAAGGTCAAAAAGGTCAGCTCATTTAGCTAAATTTAAAATGTTTCTATGTCAAGAACATCCCAACCTTCCTGTTGCTTGGGCAATAGACTGTAAGACCAAGGAGTGTTTCATTATTTTAGGGAGCCATGACTGTCACCCAGGGCTCTCTTCTTTTCAACGTCTCCATTAAAGCACCATATGGGGCTTAAGCCTTGGTCCAACCAGCCCAGGATTCTGACCGACTATGAGACATACTATTGGAGGACTTGTTTGTGGCTGAAAGAACCCTCAAATTGGGTTTGAGAACCAGTTGTGCCACTTACTGACTTATATGGCTTAATATCTCAAAGTTCCAGTTTCCTCATTAGTAAATGGAGACATAGTATTGGCACTATCTACCGTACCCAGCTGTCATGAGAAATGAATGAGATAGTGTAGTTAAAAGTGATTTGTAACCATCAACTGTATATAAAGTATAAAGTATAAACTATAATGTTAACCTCATAAGATTAGAAGTAAAGCCTAAAATATCCCTCCTTTCCCCACTATGAAATCTAGTTATAAAATTGAAGCCATTTTTGACTCTCTATTTTTATCCTTCACTGGTATAGCAAAGTTCTGTTCTTGTAGTGTCAGCCTTATGAGGGGATATGGACAAAAGTCTTGCAGGATGGACAGGCACAAATGGGTTGCAATCTGCATCTTTGGAGGGAATATTGACATTGATGAAATCCCAAATCCATTTGCATTTTTTTCTTTTTTTAAAAATTTTATTAATTTATTTTGATTCATCAACAGTCACTTCCATATGCTTTTGAGTTGAAAATTTTTCTCCCCCTTCCTCCCCCCCACCTTCCCCAAGACGGCGCACAATCTGATATAGGCTTTACATTTACGTACCCGTGAAACATATTTTCACATTAGTGAAGTTGTAAGTAAAAATTAAAACCAATAGGAGGAACCATCAGAAAGATGAAACAAAACTCAACAGAAGGTAAAAATAAGTGAGAGCGATTCGACTTCCATAGTTCTTTCTTTGGATGTGGACAGCATTTTCCATCCCAAGGCCTCTGGAGATGTCTTAGATCCTCATAATGCTGAGAAGGGTTCAGTTTAACAATATTAGTCATTGCATAACGTGGCTGTTATTGTGTACAAAGTCCTCTTTTTTCTGCTCACCTCACTCAGCATCACACCATATAAGTCTTTCCAGGTTTTTCTGAAGTCAGCCTGTTCATCCTTTCTTATAGCACAAGAGTATTCCATTACATTCATATACCACAACTTGCTCAGCCATTCCCCAATGATGGGCATCCTCTCAATTTCCAATTCTTTGCCACCACAAAAAGAGCTGCTATGAATATTTTTGTACATGTGGGTCCTTTTCCCATTTGTTTGATCTCTTTGGGATATAGCCCTAGAAGTGCTATTTCTGGATCAAAGGGCATGCACATTTTTGTAGCCCTTTGGGCATAGTTCCAAATTGTTCTCCAAAATCCATTTGCATTTTTGAGTATTTGAATTCTGTTGTAACATGCTTCACTATGTAATATAGAGATACCATCCTTTTACTTACTGTAGCCTATCTATGAGCATGCTAAATTTGGAATCAAGAAGTTCTACGTCTGAATTCTACCCCCAGTGCTAATTGAGCATGGGATCATGGACGAGAAACTTAAGCTGTTGAAGACTCAGTTTCTTCATCTATAAAATGGCAATGATAATTATACCAATAGTACCTTCTTTACAGGGTTGTTGTGGAACTCAGATGAGATCATATATGTGAATAACTTCCCCAAAACTTAAGATGCTTATATAAATTATCAACCATTATTGTTTCTCCTAAAATTACTCTTTTCAGCCTTTGAGAAGGTTCCCTTAGTCACATGCAAGGCAAGACATTCCCCTTATGATGTCATTGGTCCTCTTTGAGAATAAGGGACAATAATAGCATGAAGAAGAAGTACTCCAGAAGTTGAGAGACAAATCTCTCTCCATCCTATCTGTGTATAGGACTTGATACAATTCAGTCATAACACTACTGAGCCTTTTGTCTTCCTATGCTGAAGAGTTCCTGGTTTATCAGTCTATCCTTTGGGGAAAAGAAACATCTATGTCACAGCTACAATTTGTTAGGCTGAAATAAACCTATGTGGAGACAATCCTTGATGGAACAGTTTATTGAAAATGGGAAAATAGGAGGTTTCAGAGTCCATGCTTTTAAGCAGCCTGAGGAACTGTAAGAGAAATGCGTCGGGGCACTTTTTTATACAAATAATGAAATATTAACCCATGTGTAATACAACTATTTCTCAGAACTTAGTTCAAAGTGGTTATTTGGTGGCGCAGTGGATGAGAGCACTAGACCTGGAAGCAGAAACACCAGAAAGACCGGAATTCACATGTGACCTCAGACAATTACTAGCTGTGGAATCCTGAGCAAGTCACTTAGCTCTTGCCTGCATAGAACGGGAGAAGGAAATGGCAGACCATTCCAATTTCCTTGCCAAGAAAACCCCATGGACAGTTGGTCCTTGAGATCACAAAGAGTTAGACGTGACTAAACAACTGAACAAAAATTTCTCGGAATTTATTTCAGTCCAATTATTTTTCAGAATTGTCGTCCTGGTATTTCTTCATTGGTTAAGTTTATCATGACCTTGGTGCATCAATAACATTGGCTTAACTTTGGCAGAACAATCTATTTAGCTTTGGTTCCAGTCCATGCACCTGTTCTTGGCAAGAGCTAAGGAATTATAAGACTACTCTCTAAAATCATGCTATATTACGATTTAACTTCCCAAACACTATGCTATTTTGCAAATTAACTCTCACTTATCCTTAAAAACTGTACTGGGGGAGAAACGGAAGCTAGAAATCACCATAGTCCTATGAGCAGATGTAAAGTTCTGCCTTTATTTCCGTGCTTGAGAAATATGTCTGGTGTTATAGAAAGACCACTGCTGATGAGGGAAAAGGAAGGCACCGATTCCTAACAGCACCTGAATCCCTCACATTTCCCTTCTTTTCTAGTCAGTGTATGGAGTCACAGAAGAGTCTCAGTCCCAGAGTCCTGTGCATATACCTGCCCAGCCAATCAGGAAAACTACAAAAGAGGACATCCGGAAACAGGTGTGCGTGTGTGAATTATTCATAGCAGTTCCTAACACCCCAGAGGAAAGATGGGAAACTCTGGTTATGTTTAGGTCCAAAAAGATGAGCAGTTTCTGGGTTCCAAGGGATATTTGCAAGGCAGTGCGGCATAATGGAAGTATATTGACTTTGGAAGCAGAGGACTTAAGTTCTTTGTTGTACATGTCATGTAAGTTCTCTCTGAGCCTCAGAGAGTCTCATCTATAGAATGAAGGGACTGGACTAGATAACCCCTAAGGTACCTTCCACCTCTGAACCAATGATCCTTTTTGGAACGTAGCTGACCTGAAGTCTTCCAGCAAGAATACTACTCAGCTGCATTGTTGGCAAGGAGGAAGAGGAATTGGGACAGATTTACATTAGTAGATAGAGTTTTCACACCAAGAGCTCCACCTCACTGGTGAAATCACAAATCTTAGAAAGTTGCCTGGAACACATGAAAGGTTAAATATTGTGTTCACAGTCTTGTTCAGTCATTTCAGGCATGTCTGACTGTTGGCGACCCCATTTGGGGTTTTCGTAGCAAAGACTAACTAGTGTTAGAGTGGTTTGCCATTTCCTACTCCACCTCATTTCACAGATGAGGAAACTGAGGCAAACAGAGTGAAGTGACTTGCCCCGGGTCACAAAGCTAGGAAGTGTCTGAGGCCAGATTGGAACTCAATCTTCCTGATGCCACGTAGCTTCCAAATGCTCACAGCTATACAACCATAATTACAGAGGAGGACCTGAACCCAGGTCTTCCTAACTCCAAGCTGGCTACAGAGAGCAAAGTTGTTCTCCTAATCTGTGCTTTGCTTTTTCTACAAAAATATAATCATGTTTTACTCTTCAAAGAATTCCTAAAAAGGTTATGCTTTCCAGGGAAAACAATAGGTTGGGACCAATAGCTTTTGTTTCTAAGATTCTGAGTCTCAGGGTGGGAAAAAAAAATGGTTGTTGCTTCTCTACCTATTCCCCTTTTTTCAGGATCCATTCCGTGGGTGTTATTTTCCTCCAAGGTCAGTAGTCTGAGCAGTCAGTCAATCAACATTTATTAAATGCCTACCACGTGACAGGTACTCATCACTTCAAAGAAGGAACATTAACGGAGTTAACTACACATGACACTGTGTTGCTGCTGTGGTGGCTCACTCATGAAGTCGTGGCATTTGACCTCAGACAAAGCCCATTCAACAATTTAGCATCTACTGTATACAGAGCATGATACTTGGTGAATGCAAAGGAAGAAAACAAAGTCTCTCTCATTGAGCAGCTTATTGTCTCTTCGAAAAGAGAAGATATAGGGGGCAGCTAGATGGCCCAGTGGATACAGCACCGGCCCGTGAAGTCAGGAGGACCTGAGTTCAAATTCGGCCTCAGACCAAACACTTGACACTTACTAGCTGTGTGACCCTGGGCAAGTCACTTAACCTCAATTGCCTGAAAACAAAAAAAAAAGAAAAGAGACGACATATATATATATACCAACATAGCTATTTAATTCATGTCAGTGAACGTTTAATAAGCACCTACCCTATGCTAAGTGCTAGGGCTACAGATATAAAAATAAAATAGTCCCTGTCTTCAAAGAGCTTATATTTTATTACATTTTTATTGAATTGATCTTAATTTTCTATAAAATGAGATTAGGCTAAATTATCTCTAAATTATGTGTGTGTTTAAGTGTAGAAAAGATGGCGTAAATGGCAGCTTGTCAGAGCTGAACTTAGAAGGCCTGGGTTCAAGTATAGCCTTTGACACATAAGCATTATGTGACTAGATGCAAGTCACTTAATTTCACATTGCTCTGGAAGAATTCTCTGAGGCTGAGTTTCAGAGTGGTTGCTGTTCTTCATTGGTCTAAGGAGTTCTGTACTGAGAGCTCCTCACCTGATAAAATCATAGGCCTGGCCAAAAGGGGGGGAGAGAGGGAGAGAGAGAGAGAGAGAGAGAGAGAGAGAGAGAGAGGAGAGAGAGAGAGAGAGAGAGGAGAGAGAGAAGAGAGAGAGAGAGACAGAGAGACAGAGAGAGAGACAGAGAGAGAGAGAGAGAGACAGAGAGAGAGAGAGAGAGAAGAGAGAGAGAGACAGAGAGAGGAGAGAGAGAGAGAGAGAGAGAGAGACAGAGAGAGAGAGAGAGAGAGAGAGAGACAGAGAGACAGAGAGAGAGACAGAGAGAGAGACAGAGAGAGAGACAGAGAGAGAGAGAGAGAGAGAGAGAAGAGAGAGAGACAGAGACAGAGAGAGAGAGAAGAGAGAGAAAGAGAGAGAGAAGAGACAGAGAGACAGACAGAGACAGACAGAGAGAGAGACAGAGACAGAGAGAGAGAGAGAGAGAGAGAGAGAGAGAGAAAATAAGACTGTGAGTGTAAACGCTGATGAGATTCAGAATAAATAAAAGGCTACTATAGGACTAGCAATTGTTCTAGGCAGAAGATCCGAAAGATATATAAAACATGGACATTGCCCCTCAGAAACTAACAATCTTGATATATCAAATTTATATGTGTAAAATCATATATAAAATAGAAAACAATAGGAAAAATCAGTTACTCGTCTGTGTGATAGAGATGAAGGAAAATAGCATCATAAACAGAGGTTGTTGGGAAAGCTTCTTGAAGCGTCTTGAGCTAGAACTAGAAGGAAATGTAGGCTTTGGATTGGTAGAGGGGAAGGGGAAGAGCGTTCTGGTACAGCATTAATATCCCTGTCATCTCTTTCCTCAGATAACATTTTTGACTACACAGATAGACAGACATCGTTTAAAGATGTCCAAAGTAGCTGAAAGGTGAGTCTGCTGTTAATATTATCACTTTCTTCTGGGTTCACAAAATGGGCATGGAGCAGGATCAGGATATCAAGGGCACACTAGTCAGACAAGAGTCAGTGGTGGTCTCTTGAATCAAAAGTCCAATAAACTGATACCAGTTTATTTAAGGTGACAAGTCTTACTATCCCTCTCTGGTTTCACAAGATAAAAATACATAAACTCTAAAATCTTTAAAAGAACAATGGTCATAGAAGAAAAAAAAAAACAATCCTCCATAAGCTGTCTGATGTGCTTTGTTGATTTCTTTAAATAAAATTGTTCTCTTTCCACGTACAAAATGTCCAGATGCATTTTATAGGGGGAAAAAACTCTTGTGTGTCCTTTGAGGTAGTATTTGTATAAGCAGAAGGGGATGTGATCATCAAAAGTTATTAAATTCCTAAGTACCACCCATTGGATTGTATCCAGTAAAACCTTTGTAAAGAAAACATTTGTTATGAACAAGTTGGATACACTTGGCACATACCTTTGGGATATAAGCTGCCTGGGGAGCTGGCTCTGACCAGTTATCTTGCTGGAGACTTAATTTTGCCCAGTAAATAGACTATTTCTCAACTCAGGGCAAGACCACCTGGTAAATTTTGGGGAATATATCTAGCCAAGCTGAACTTTTGTTGATCCATATGCTGCCCCTGAGATCATTAATATCTAATGGCAGCAAGACTGTAAGTCAAATCCAAATGTTCGTTAGAAGCAATAGAAAAATGTACCCTTTTTTTTTCCTTCCCATAGGAAATTTGGGTTGATTTGGGGAGTTCCTGGATCATCTTGATTAAGTTACAAGATGTCCCCAGTGCTCTCAAAGTGGTATATGTCCACGTCCTCAGTCGATCAAGAAGCATTTTTAACATAAATTTTTTTTTAAATTTCAGTTCACAAGTATCTGCTCTCTCCCCCACCTCCCTTCACTAGAAAAACAAAAACAAAACCTTTGTAACAAATATGCATAATTATGCTGCATACACTGGCCATGTCAAAAAAAATGCACGTCATTCTGTTTCTTGAGTCCATCACCTCTCTGCCAAGACTGAGGCTTCCTCATCAGTCCTCTGGAATCGTGGTTAGTCATGGCATCATCAGAGTTAAGTCTTTGAAAACTCATCAATAGGCATTTACTTATTAATTACTGTGTGCCAGGCATCGTGCCAGACAATCGTGTTACAAAGACCACAGCATTTAGTGTGCTGCCTAGCACATAGCAGGAGCTTAATAAATGCTTATCAACTTGAAAACAGTCCCTGCCTTGAAGGAATTTATAATCTACTACATTCCATGTGAATCTCCCTGTAGCCTCATCAGATTTGTTGATTGAGGGGGCAGCTAGGTGGCTCAGTGGGTAGAGCATCGGCCCTGAAGTCAGGAGGACCTAAGTTCAAATCCAGCCTCAGACCAAATGCTTGACACTTACTGGCTGTATGACCCTGGGCAAGTCACTTAACCCCAATTGCTTAAAAAAAATTTATTGATTGACTCTTTACTCCATAGGATCGTTTTCAGACATTTAGATGGAATCTGATATCTGACAGGCATTTGTTTTCTACTTTACATAGTAAATGAAAATAACCAAGTTTAAAAATACAATGAAACTAAGACCGATTCCCGCTAAACTGAGAGGTGAATCTTCCACCTTCACCAAAAGACTAAAGTATTTGCTGGTTTGGGGCTAATGTGTTTTTTCTACAGCACATGCCTATTCATTTATTCCTCAAGCAAAAGCACCCCAAATGCTTTTTCAGGACCACAGATCATTTGGCAGTGGAGGTATCATTTACTCTGACATGGTAACCTCAGCTACCTCTGGGATCTGGTTTGTGGCTTCTAAAGCCATGCCGATATTTTCTTAAGAGCATATCACTCTTGTGGCGAAAGGACAGGCTCTTCACAATTGCCTTTAGAGATGCTGCTGTAGTTCCTTTTATCCAGGAAGAATTCTGTGAGGGAAACAACCTAGGGTGTCTGGGGACCAATTAAATGCATCCACTGCCTTTTCCTAGAATTCCACAAATACCGCTTTGTGGCATAACAATTGGGAGCTTCTCTTTGTCCATAGATCACCTTTCCTTAGTTCTGGTCTCTTATATAAACTGAGAGGGTTGGGCAAATCCCTTGAGCTCTCCGGGCCTCAGTTTCCTCATCTGTAAAATGAAGGGTTTGGACTAGAGGACCTCTGAGGTCCCTTCTGGTTCTAAAACTGTGAGCCTGTCACCTGTGTTCTGTACCACCTCCGTGTTGTTATTATGGACCTCAGTCATATTCTGCTCAGGCCCTTATTGGAATAAATATGATCTAATTTGTTTGCTTTTTGGTTTGGGGTAGGCACTTGTTACCCCAGTCATTATGAAGAGGACTTATACCATAGGGGGCCTTATCCAGAGCCCCATGCAAGTGTGTTATGGCACCAATTATGGTATTTCTTCCTTTTGGGAGAAAAAGGTGGGGGTGAGGAATGGGAGGAGGGGCAGGGATTAGGAAGAGCAGACTGGCACAGTCCTAGTGTTTGTTTATTTATATTAGTGTCAGTGAGCCCTCACCTGGTATGGTCTAATTATGCTTGAGAGACTGCTCAAATTGAAGGGATTATTCCAACTGACTACTTCTCACTTCACAGCACAGAGCTCTCAGGGGTCCCCGCCCAGGGAAAGCCAGATTTTATGCGATGCAGTGACAACTGGCAACTTTTCAAAGTGACACAAAGGTTTTTCATGAGAGCCATAAGGAAACTCCCAGGGAGAAAAGGGCAAAGGAAAGGAGGAGTGTTAGCAAGAGATAAAGCATCCCACACCTGCCATTTGTCAGTGTCTACGGAAAGGGGTTGGCGGGGCGAGGAGAGGAAGAGGAACATTGCCCGCCATGCTAATGGGGACCGTTCTGGCAGCTGTGTTTGGGTGTTACTGCTCACCTGAGGTAGAAGCAGGGCTCCTCTCAGGTGAACACACGCACATCCTGGATCTGGTTTCCCTGGGCTGCTCCAGGTGATAAGTGTTAATTAAAGCCATCGGGCTAAGGACCTCATCCCCCAGGAGACAAAGGCATTGTTATTCACGTAGTTCCATAGGAACAGAGAGGATGTGCCCTGGGGACAGCTGTTGAGAGATTCAGAGGGCCTTTGCAACCGAGATAAAGGGGCTTCTTAGGAAAAGCAGGAGGAACCAGTTAAACAGGGAGGAAGGAAGTGGTCTGGTCCTGAAACAAGCAAATAGCCAGAGGCCAGGGAATGAGGAGAGCACTTTCTGTGGTAATGTCCTTACCCTGGTCCCTGATCATGGCAGCCTTGGATTCTGAAAAGCCCTTTTTAAACCAGGGGTTCTTAACCTTTCTTGTGTCATGCATGGTTCCTTTGGGTAGCCTGCTGAAACTTATGGGCCCTTCTCAGAATAATGCTTTGTTACCTATATGCATCACTGAAGGAAATGCCAAATTTTTTGATGGAGTTCAGATAGAAACATTCCTGGGATACGTTTCTGTATCTTTCTGTAATTTCTGGTGGCAATTATCTATTCCCGAGTCTTTATCATAAACCTCTTCATCTCTCTAAAAACAAAATAAAGATACAATGTTTTACCCCCTGAAATCTGTCCACGGACCGCTCAAGAATTTCTGGAAAAACAGAATGATCCTAACCTGGGGTTATTGGCAATGCTTATCTTTTCCTTCATCATCAACCCCTTTTTGGTGGCATTGCTGGTAATGTATCTTGAGTCATCATACTCTTGTATGAAGAAATGTTCCATTTCAGAATCAAATATTTTTATTTTAGCCCTTTTTATGAAAGCCTTTCTAAAAGGTCTTGCACAACTCCCTACCTTCTTAAATAATAATAGTAATAATCATAGTGATAATAGCTATCATTTATATAGCACTTTAAGGTTTACAAAGCGCTTTACAAATATCTCATAACAACTTTGGAAGGTAGGTGCTATTATTATCATCCCATTGTATGGATAAGGAAACAGTCAGGCAGAGGTTAAGTGACTTGCCTAGGGTCCCATAGCTTGTGTCTCAGACCAGATTTTAACTCAGGTCTTATTGAATATATCCTTGTTCAGTCAGTCTTTCAACAAGCATTAACTGTACACCCAAGCACTGTTTAGTATTAGGAAAGAAGCAAAGATAAGACCATTTCTGAATTCACAGAACTCACAATTTGTGGGGAGAAGAGAGGAAATGTGACACCTATTAAACTACGTAATCGTGTATCTGGAAAAACATAATATGATACAGTAACTATGTGATAACTGTAGGATAGGCTTAGGGCAGCTAGGTGGCGCAGTGGATAAAGCACCAGACCTGGAGTTAGGAAGACTCTTCCTGAAAACTCAAATCTGGCCTCAGACACGTCCTAGCTGTGTGCCCCTGGGCAAGTCACTTAACTCAGTTTGCTTCAGTTTCCTCATCTGTAAAATGAGCTAGAAAAGGAAATGGCAAAGCATTGCAGGATCTTTACCCCATAGATAGTATTGCTGTACCATGGTCCACAGGGTCAAGAAGAGTCAGAAACAACTGAATAACTGAACAAAAATACGTAGCTAAGCTTTAATACATGGATTTTGTGACATTTATTTTGGTTTTCCCAAGGCCTTTTTGCTTATTTTCTTATGCTTGATGTAGTCTGAATGATTGAGGTTGTCAGAACTATGACCTCTGGAGTATTCCTGTAGTTAGAAATAATGCTCTAATACATAGATATGTACGTGTGTGCTCACATTGACCATTAATAATTATGATAATAGATATACGTGTACTCAGCTAACAATATGTTAGTTGGACAAGCCTAATAACATGTAGTGTCCAGTGGAGGAGTCATGGGAGAGTGTTTTCATTTTTATTTTTGGTTTTGTTTTTAGAGAGATGAAGAGGTTTATGATAATGACTCAGGATCAGATAATTGCCACCAGAAATTACAGAAAGATACAGAAACATATCCCAGGAATGTTTCTATCTGAACTCCATCAAAAAAA